TTCTATGAATCTCTGGAGAATGAAGGAAGTCACTGAGGCTATATGACGATTATATATATAAATTAGTTTGTAAAGTGTAAATGTTGATGGGATGGTGCTGAAAAGATTTGCTCCCCTTCCTCCTTTCCATTTATCCTTTGTTACACATTGCAACAGGCTTGTTTTAATATGTGTAAGTGTAAAGTGTAACAGGAAAAAAAAAACACATACTCTGACTTTCTGCAAAGTAACCGGTACAGCAGTTTTCATAAACGTTCCCTAATGTCTCTACAAAAATACTTACAACAACGTTTGTCTCTGAAGTATCGTCACATAATGAGAATGTATTTATAGCTTTGCTTAACCTTCAGTTACTCCGAAAATCTGACTTTAACTCAAGATCAAAGAGGAAAAAAAATGAATTTCTGCAGAAAACATGTCCTTATTTAGCATATTATAGGTGCCTGCAGCACTACAGCGCTGGTGTGATTCCTGACAAGGAGAGTAACAAACGCAGTTTGATCAGCTCCGGAGTGGTTATGCTGAAGAAGCAGGAGATTCTCCTTTGCCGCTCTCTCTACACACTATCTCACTCCCACCTCTGTTACGATCTCTCCCTTATGTTATTCATCTACTTCCCTCTCACCAACTTCCCCCTTCCCTCCCACCATTCTCTATCCCAATTTCCCATTATACTGTCACCAGTCTTTTTTCACATTCTCTCCTTCCACTAACTTTCTTATACCCCATTTCATTTTACTGTCACTTCTCTCTCTCTTAATTCCCCCCAACCTAATATCTCTATTTCCCTTTTTTAGCATCTTTGCCAAAACACCTTGGTGTATAAGTCCAAATTTAAAATGGACTTATAGAGTTATTGTCATGGTAACAGACGCATACCAACTCCACTAAACTTGGTTTGGTGCAGGGACGGATTGACAACTCATGGGGCCCCCGGGCAATAGGGGATCATGGGGCCCCTGTGTCCTTGCCCAAACTCAAAAAGCCTATGAAAAAGTTACCAGGGGCATCTCATGGGGGCCCCTACTGACAACGGGCCCGTGGGCAGTGCCCGAGTTTCCAAATGGTCAGTCCGCCCCTGGTTTGGTGATCTAAATTTCAAACAAAAACCACACAAAATGGTTATGTATATGTAAACACAATCACTAAACTTTCATAATCATAATTTCAGGGGGATCATCAGCACTGAGATGCAACAAGGGGGGGGGGGGGGGGGCTTTGGGGGGAGTTAAAATAAGCACTTTACAATTCATGTCTTTCAGTTAGGATGTATATCTGCTTTAAACTCCATGTTTCTTTTGACTTTAAATAGTTCCTTTGGACCAAGCTGATCCAAGCAAACTATTTGTGGCACTAACAGATGCACCTGCTGCGCTGTATATAGCATAAGCTACATACAGTATACAGTGCTGTGTCCTGGCATGGACTTTCCATCCAACTCCCAGAAGAAATTTGGGTTGGGCTGAGCACTGCTAAGCCATTCACAGGAAGCTTTGTATTTTTTTAGACAGTTCATCAATTAATACAAGGTATCCACTGACTGGCTGAGGTGGAGATCATGACATCATGTGCTCCCTCACTACTTTAGCCAATCAGAGGAAGATTTGTATTCACTGATGAACAACAAGACTTTCTGTGAATGGCTGAGCACTGCTCAGCCTTGCTTCATTTTGTTCGGGGGACAAGACAAGAAGTTACTGTCCTGCTGCGGGAACACAGCGATGCTGTACTGTATATTTTATGTAACTAATACTACATTTAGTTTATATAGTGCTCCCAGTGGGTCCATCTGTTAGTGAAGCAAATAGTTTGTTTGGTCCAAATGAATTATTTAAAGTCACAATTCAAAACATAAATGATAAGGGACTTTAAGGGGGCCAAAATCAGACAAATGTATAACAATTACCGAAAAACATCATATTTTTATTAATGTAATATATAAAATCAGCAATTATGCGAGACAGATTTTAAAAACAAATGCAGGTATCCATGTTTTTCATAATTGCATTAATTTCCATTCTCAACATGTTTCGCTATTCATGGCTTCTTCAGGAAATAACAGGAACATTTTAACTAAAGGATACCACTGAAAAGTTACCTCTAAAGTTGATTCCCTCGAATCTAAACCATTATTCTTCATGCATGAAATGGACAGAAAACCTAGATGATAACGTGTATTGGTAACTGCAGGAGAGACACAATTTAACCTCAAATCCATCAATATATAAGCAACAGAGGGAAGATGATTTCCTCCAGTATCAATAAATAGGTAGGGCTTTTATATTCACTGCATGTAAGGTACATGTACAAAATGATCAATGAGTCAACAATTCTTAGGTCAGACTAAGGGAGTCTTTTGAGTGGCACCTGCAGCGGCCATATTTAACATTATAGGACTCCTGAAGTCAGGCTTTAACACTACCCTGCAAACCATTGTCTTCCTAAAGCAGGCTATACTTTAAGCAATTAACCACAGGTTGCAGGAAAGAAAATTGCCCAAATCCCTCCCACAGCAATGATGTATTCTTCCCGTGGGAAGTGTTCTCTACTGCCAGAACACAATGATCACTGCTGGCAGCTATAGCCGTCGGCAGTGATTGCATGAAACAAATCCTACAGGCTGGTTGCATTGAAGTCGATCAATGGATCAACTTCAGTGCAACCAGCCTGCCCATAGATGTTTTGAATCTCGGCCAGCCCCCCTGAACTGGCTGAGATTCGTTCCATCTATAGCTGGCTGTAGCTGCCTTATTTTATATTTCATTTTCCTGTTCCAACATTTAAATCTAACCACCCTGTGAATTTAACTCCTTACTTCTCACCAGCATTACCTTTTCCTTTACCACCCCATTAGCCGCGCTGCCCCCCCCCCCCCCCCCCCCCCCCATAACTTCTTCCTTCATCTACCTATTGATCCCTGCCAGTTAGATTTTATCTCCTAAACTATTCCCTCTCAGACCTCTTTTTTTCCCCATCTCTTCTCTCTTCTATATGTCACTCCATTGTACTCTTGCTTCTTGAAGTATGCAACTGCCTATTGTACGCCCTTCATAAGCCCCCTTTCTTCTTTCCACCTTCACTTTTTTCTCCCTTGTTCCTATCATATCTCATTGCCTCCCCCCTTTATTCATTCCTGTTCACTCTTGTACTCTTTCTCCTTCTACTTCTGTTTAGTCTTACCCTTTATATTATCCACTCTCCCTTCTTTTTCCTAGCTCCCCTTTAACTCCACCGTATTTCTTCCCTCTGTCCACCATCTCAGATTTGTTCCCCCACCCTCCCTCTCATTCCTTTTATTTGTATAATTTCCTGAAATGGCCATAGAACTACACAACAATATAATTGATATTTTAGGCTTGTGGGCACTTTAATTCTCTAAAACAATTTAATTTCCTCTAAAAACCATTAGGTACCCTTTTCTCCAACCACAAATCTGTGAGCACTCTGCTAAGTTCACCAACATTTCAAACACAGCGGCTGCAGCCTGTCATTAATTTCCTTTACACAGCTAATACATTTCAGCAATGTCTGCCGTTATCCACATGTAACATCAATTTATCTCCTAATTGCTCTCAATTTATTGCTTATCATGCTAAACATCCCTCCAGATATTCTGCCTTCATGCTAGGTCGCAAATTACAAGTGGAACAAATGACTCCAAATAATGTTATATATTAGATATAATTTAAGAGTGACCCTAAAAAAATCCAATTTTCTGAGAAGGATAATGTCTCCAGTAGTATTTTTTCTCCTGATGTTGTAGTTTAGCTTTTACTGCCTATAATAAAAATTATATTTCTGTCTATTCTTTACAATGTTCTGCTTGTATCATTACGGCAGCTTCTTTTATGCTTTTTACATACTAAAATATACAATTCTGTGCCCCTTAAAAAAAGTTTACACACTGGAACCTCAACACTTAACGTGAGCAAAGAAATGGGAGATTGTAAATCACATATCCAGAATGGCATTGGAAAGTCCATCAGTGCAGAAGTGGGGTCTGATAAAAACTTTAATTAAATGGCTAAATATACAGATGCAACCTATTGAAGTTTTTTACCTGCCATTGGTTTTTAAGTAAAATGCACAAAGCTATATTATTGCATTGCATAAGAACCGTGGCAGTATTGTTTGGAACTTGATGTTCTACAAGCAATGCTCGAACTACTGATGGTCACATTTGTTCCCCTCCAACCCAATGAAAATTAAAGCTGAACTCTGTGGAAAATAAAAATCCTCCTTTGCAGTTGGGCTGTTCCATACTGCAGAGGTTAAATACTCATTTGGGTCTATGGCAGTGTTTCTCAACTCCAGTCCTCATGGACCCCCAACAGGTCATGTTTTCAGGATTTCCCTCAGATGAAACAGCTGTGGTAATTACTAAGGCAGTGAAACTGATCAAATCACCTGTGCAAAATAATGGAAATCCTGAAAACATGACCTGTTGGGGGTCCATGAGGAGTGGAATTGAGAAACACTGGTCTATGGGAACAAGAAAAGCACTTATTCAATCCAACTTGCTTCAAGACCGTCTGATGCAGGGTTCTTAGCCTTACAATGGACACCAGGCGACACTCCACTGCCAGAGCATAGGGGAGCACCACCTGCCAGGGAGTGGAGATCAGGTAAGTAAATCTGATTTTCCTGTTCCCTAGACCTAAACAAGTATTTCGACATTGCAGTGCAGGGGCAGCCCCACAGTAAAGGAAGATTTCTATGCTGTACTTTCCCCTGAGATGGGCTTTGAAGTGCGATGTAAATCAACAATTATTATTATTAATATATATATAATATATAAATATATATATATATATATAAATATTATTAAACTTTATAATATTAATAAAGCAGAAATAAATATACAAATTTGATGCTTCCAAATGTGAAGCGAAACATTCAGATTGGTTCTGTAAAAAGTCAGATAATAAAAATGTAACATTTATCATTGGCCATTTAATTCAAATGGAACTGAACCCATCAATGTAACACTTTCAAAAACAGTTACATTCCAGGCATGCCACAACCAGGGGCGGACTGACCATTTGGAAACTCAGGCACTGCCCGAGGGCCCGGGGTCAGTAGGGGGCCCCATGAGATGCTCCTGGTACCTTTTTCATAGGATTTTTTGAGTTTCGGCAAAGACACAGGGGCCCCATGATCCCCTATTGCCCGGGGGCCCCATGAGTTGTCAGTCCACCCCTAGTAGGGAGCCCCATGAGATGCCCCTGGTACCTTTTTCATAGGCTTTTTTTGAGTTTCGGCAAGGACACAGGGGCCCCATGATCCCCTATTGCCCGGGGGCCCCATGAGTTGTCAGTCCACCCCTGGCCACAACTGTAACATTTGCTTATGCTCCCCAACCAAACTATGACACCTTCAAATGGCTGGTCTCATAACTGATCACCATGGCTGTTGCAGATCAAACAGAGGCTAAGATGGCAGCTTCCTTGACTGAAAAAAGATAGGAAGGTTTAGTTCCGTTTTAATATGCCTGTCATTAATTCTAAGGGCTAGTTCACACTACATGCATTCCAGTGGTTTTTTTCTGCATCCAAAACACATAGAACGTAGGTTACATGGTTTTCAATGACATAGTTCACACCAGTGCTTGCAGATCCAGTGGGTCCAGGTTTCAGAAAAAAAAAGTAAAAACATGCTGCATTTTTCCTGCACAGAACTGTACTGGAACACAGTAAAACTAATGAAACATACTGGAACATACCTACATGCATCAAAAATGCACCAAACACCAGAACAATGAAAAACACAGGAAAAAAGAAAAACCTCTAGAACACATTCAGAAATGAATCAGAAACACACTGGAATGCATAAAAACGCATTAACACACATGCAGAAATGCATCCGGAAAGGATCTGGAGTGTGTTTTTGTGGTGTGAACTGGCCCTAAAGTTGGTCATAGACACAAGCAAGTGGATGGAGGAAATCCACCTCACCCGAACATTGTAGTCTTAAAGCAATTGGCTGCAGTTGTTGATCAACAAAAGTTTACCAGGATGTCCCTTTGATTGATTTCAAGCACAGATGGCTATACACTAATCAAAATTTGGATGGTCCCGGTCAAATTTTGATCCATCAATGGCCAGCTTTACACATTAAAACTATAGCCTTGCATATCAATCTGTAATGTCTACAAACATATTCTTTTCTTGCTGCCACCAATCAGATGAAAACTTTCAGATTCCAGCTGTCACTTTGAAATGGCAGGTTTTAATTTAATTGGCAGCTGAGAGAAAGTAATGACAGTTTTCAGTATGGACACTGATCAATGAGACCTGATGCTTGTAACACTAATCACCTACTGCCATCTCCAATTGAACATTTCCTGCATCTATTTTTTCTGATCAATAACAGGTGAAATTGTACTGCATCACATCTCATGCCAGTCCAATTTTTTTTGTAGCCAACTCTAGTGGTCTACCAGTATAATTAGTGGTACCAGACCAGAATTAGGTAGGTCATCCGATTTCCCTCTCATTTTCAAAATGCTGCTACATTGACTGCCAAATGCACACAAAAAAACAATTCAAAGCCCTAGCTCCATCCTACAAAGGGCCCACCAAGACTGCTCTGTCATACATCTTCATGCTGATTTACAATAATTCTCTCGAGCACAACTTCACCATCGAGTTGCCTCTTCACACTATCACCTTCAAGACCCCTCATGTGCCTCTTCTCTTGAGTTACCTCGCTCTTGCCATTTGGCACTCTCAACCTTTCAAAGGCACTTAAAACTCACTTCTGACAAGTGTATTACCTTGCCTAAAGCTTCAACATTTCACTAGGCACATTCACTTGTTTTATATTTCTTAGTTTACTCATTCACCTAAATGTTGCCTCTAGCCCTTATTTCTTTAGACTTTGGGCTTCAGAAGCTACTTTGAAATGACTATTTTATGTTTTGCTGTGTAGCTGTATGGACATAGAACAAAAAAACTATATGTTTGTGTAGACTTTACCATTGTTTGTAACATTGTATGTAACAGATTATTGTTCTCAATGCATATACATCAATCAGCCATAACATTATGACCACCCAATATAACCTGTCAATGCACGGGCTCCACTAGACCTCTGAAGGTATACTGTGGTATCTGCCACCAAACCATCAGTAGCAGATGCTTCAAAGTGGTTGTAAAGGCTAAAGTTTATTTTTTTTTACCTTAAGGCATTCTCTGTATCCCCCCAGCCTCCTCAAATACTTACCCAAGCCTGCCCCCCTTAAAGCGATACTAAAGGTTCATTTTTTTTCTTGTAAAATAGCAAACATGTTATGCTTACAGTTGTGTCCAAAATTATTCAACCCCCACTGAAATTGAGTGTTTTGGCCAGTTTGACATTGCTTTTGATCATTCAGTCATCTTGCTTACATTTACATTAAAGAGGCACTTGTAGGTCAGACAAATATAACATAACAGTTATAATGAAATAACCACAAATGTCTTTTCTGTGCTCACAGCATTATCAGTTTTATTCAACCCCCAAGTGACATTCAATCTTAGTACTTAGTACAGCATCCTTTTACAGTTATAACAGCTTTTAAACGTGAAGCATAGCTTGACACAAGTGTCTTGCAGCGATCTACGGGTATCTTCGCCCATTCTTCATGGGCAAAGGCCTCCAGTTCAGTCACATTCTTAGGCTTGCGCACTGCAACTGCTTTCTTTAAGTCCCACCAGAGGTTCTCAATCGGATTTAAGTCTGGTGACTGCGATGGCCACTCCAAAATGTTCCAGCCTTTCCTCTGCAACCATGCTCTAGTGGACTTGGAGGTATGCTTGGGATCATTGTCCTGTTGAAAGGTCCAACGTCTCCCAAGCCTCAGGTGTGTGACGGACTGCATCACGTTTCCATCCAATATCTCCTGGTACTGAAGAGAATTCATGGTACCTTGCACACGCTGAAGCTTCCCTGTACCTGCAGAAGCAAAACAGCCCCAAAGCATGATTGACCCTCCACCATGCTTCACAGTAGGCAAGGTGTTCTTTTCATCATAGGCCTTGTTCTTCCTCCTCCAAACATAGCGTTGATCCATGGGCCCAAACAGTTCTAATTTTGTTTCATCAGTCCACAGAACACTATCCCACAACTTTTGTGGTTTGTCCACATGGCTTTTGGCATACTGCAGTCGACTCTTCTTATTCTTTGGAGACAGCAAGGGGGTACGCCTGGGAGTTCTGGCACGGAGGCCTTCATTACGCAGTGTGCGTCTTATTGTCTGGGCTGAAACTTCTGTACCCACATCTGACAAATCTTTTCTCAGTTCCTCAGCAGTCACACGGGGACTTCTCTCCACTCTACGCTTCAGGTAGCGCACAGCAGTCGAAGTCAGCATCTTCTTTCTGCCACGACCAGGTAGCGTTTCAACAGTGCCCTTTGCCTTGAATTTGCGAATGATGCTTCCTAAGGTGTCTCTTGGTATGTTTAACATCTTTGCAATCTTCTTATAGCCATTGCCCTTCCTGTGAAGAGAAATCACCTCTTCTCTTGTCTTCCTGGACCATTCTCTTGCCTTCACCATGTTTGTAACCACACCAGTAAATGTCTAGAAGGAGCTGAGTATCACAGTCATTTTAAAGCTGCCTAATTGGTGCTTATTATGCTTGATTGCTGCTCGGTGACATCCACAGGTGTTTTCAATACCTGATGGAAAGCACCTGTATGAACCTCTGTTCTTCAGAGTGGTAGTCTTTAAGGGGGTTGAATAATTGTGGCAATGAAGAAACCACATAAGAACCATTTACTACTGTATTACATAAACAATTGATGTCATTTTAGTTGCATTTGGGTAGTTACAACGTCCTTGTAGGATTTGATTCTGAATACAATTCCAAATGTACACTATAGTCCCTAAACCCCTTTACAGCATTGGGGGTTGAATAATTTTGGACACAACTGTACCTACTGTGTGCAGTGATTTTGCACACAGCAGCTTGGATCCTCCTCTTCTAGGATTCCCCACAGGCTCTCTTGGCTCCTCCTTTCTGTCGGGTGCACCCACGGCTCCGACTGTCCACTCACACATGGGGACATGGTTTGGCTCAACCCCCTCTCTCTCTCCTCATTGGCTGTGATTTACAGCAGCGGGAGCCAATGGCTCCTGCTTGCTGTCTCAGCCAACAAGGAGACAGAAACCTGGGACAGACAAGGCTGTCATGCACATAGCTGGATCTCAATGGGGCTCAGGTAAGTATTGAGGGGGATGAGGGTAGTGCTGCACACAGAAGGTTTTCTACCTTCATGCATAGAATGCATGAAGGTAAAAAACCGCAAGTCTTTACAACCACTTTAAATACTTACCTGAGCCCAATCCTAATCCAGCGCTGTGGAACTGCTTGACAATGGCTCCTGCTGCTGTGTCTATGTCCAGAGAGGAAGGAGTGAGGGGATGGGCTACGTTGTGCTATGTGTGTCTATAGACACATATACCCCAGCTCGGGAATGAGCCCATTTGTCTGCCCCCCCCTAGCAAGCACTTGCTATGGGGGCAGACACTAAAAAGGATGAGCGGAGAGCGCTGATGGGGGACCCTAGAAGAGGACGTTCGGGACTCTCTGTGCAATAGCATTATGCAGAGCAGATAAGTATAACATTTTCATTATTTTAATTTTAAAAAGTCTTTAGTAATACTTTAAGTCCTGAAGTTGCAAGGTGAGGCCACTATGGATCAGACTTGTTTTTCCAGGACATCCCACAGATGTTCGATTGGAAATAAATCTGAAGAATTTAGAGGTCAAGTCTTCACCTCGAACTTGTTGTGTTCCTCAAACCCTTCTTGAAGTCATCAGGATGCCTTCTTCCTTTGCCTCGTGGTCCAGTTCTGATACTCACGTTCCCATTGTAGGTGCCAACCAGCATGAACTTTTTCAGCAATTGGAGCTACAGTAGCTCTACTGTTGAATTGAAATACACAGGCTGACCTTCTTTCCCACATGCATCAATGAGCCTTGGCTGCACGTAACCCTGTTGCAGGTTCACCAATTTTTCTTCCTTGGACTATTTTTGGTAGGTCCTGACCACTGCAGACCAGGAATGTCCCACAAAATCTGCAGTTTTGGAGTGTCTCTGACCCAGTCATCTAGCCATTACAATTTGGCTCTTGTCAAAGTCACTCAAACCCTTACACTTACCCATGTTTTCAGCACATCAACTTTAGGGACAACATGTTTACCTGATACCTAATATATCCTCCCCACTTTCAGCCATAGCAACAAGATAATCAATGTTATTCACTTTACTTGATCATAATGTAATGGCTGATTGGTGTAAATCAATAATAGTAATGCCTCATAAGTAATAAATCACGAACCTTGCCACAGTGATGCATATAAGACACCTTAAGAGTCATGAATGTCACTGTTAGGTCAACAAATAACTGTTTGCTT